CGGTAAGAGCGTTAAAGGGGGGGGGGGGGGGGGGGAGGGGAGGGGTGGGGGTGGGTGGGGGTTTACAAAGGTTGAACATGAAAAGGCGGGGGAGGCTAAACTCAGCTACTTCTCGTTGTGCTGGGTAAAGGTAGGAAAATGGCCTGGAGGCTTTGTAGGAATGGGTGGCAGTTCTTCGATTGGCTACATTACCCATTTCGAGTATTTTGAGCCACTCCTCTGATCCGCTCGTTTCCTGATGCCGCCCCTGTTGATATTTTTTTCTGGTGGATGCAAATACACCCGCAGCTGTTTACCCTTCGTCGATTTCGAAAGATTTCAGCGAATTGGCGATTTAATAGCAAATACATCAAACCCTTGTTTCTTTGAAGGGGCTAAAAGGTTCTGATGGGTTCTTGTTATCGAGCTTGGACAAGGCAGTGTCCCGCATGACAAGTCGACAGCAAAGACAGCAATGTCAAAGGCTGACATGACAGGGTGGCTCATCCGTCAATGTCGTATTTGCAACGTGGTGACGAAATGTATCTCTAAAAAGCAGGGCAGTCAGGGCGAAATGCCCCAAAATCCTGAGCCATCGCCCGTGGTCCCCACCTACCTCCTAGAGCTTTTGCCCCTTGGCTTGTAATCTCACTGTTGGGTGCGTGGCGTGACCCCGTCGTGTATCGCATCTTGCTTGGAGGATCGATTGGCCAGCCTGGCACAGCCTAGCAAGATGTCGTATTTGCAACGTGGTGACGAAAAGTATCTCTTAAAAGCAGGGCAGTCAGGGCGAAATGCCCCAAAATCCTGTGCCCTCGCCCGTGGTCCCCACCTACCTCCTAGAGCTTTTGCCCCTTGGCTTGTAATATCACTGTTGGGTGCGTGGCGTGACCCCGTCGTATATCGCATCTTGCTTGGAGGATCGATTGGCCAGCCTGGCACAGCCTAGCAAGATCTGTGTCCGTTCTTCTGGCATGTGCGAACAACAAACGATGGAAAAATGCTCATCATGATCTCTGCCACAAATACGGAATCAGACTTTGAAGCAGAAGTTCATACACAGTAACAAGTTGTGATATAATGAACAGTCCAGGGTATACACATGTTTTAGGTCCAGAACTTCCACTGCCGGGTGGAAGTAGGGAGAGTGGCGGGAGGTGGGTGGGGTGGGGAAGGTGGGTAGGGGAGATGAGTGGGCATGAAGGGAGAGGATGGGGGAGGTGGGGGCTTCTGCTCAAGGAAAATCAGGGAAAGTCGTTCAGCCCATAGCAGCCCGTACTGTACATGTCATGAGTGGGGAGATGCTCAGACCCCACCCCGGATTCTCAGGGCAAATGCCGTCAATGTACACCAGTTATTCGTTTATCCCACCAAGCGCGTTTCGGTTGGAGGTGCTTGTCATTTTAGCCAGGTGCTTTTAACGTCTAAGAGGCACATTTCCCTGCTTATTGCCGTCCCTTGCTCCCAAAATGTGGCTGTAAATACGTTTTTGCAACTGTAGGCCGGCCTGACCTAATCATACCTAAACATGTGGCCTCGTCTTTAGCGCGAATGCGTGTAACTGTAGCGTTATTCCACCAATTTTCTTCAACATTTAGCAATTCAATGCTGAACTGACCACGCGTGTGATTCGATTCTATGTGTCATAAACGCATCGCTCCCAACCTTCTATGTGAACGTACCGAGCTGGTGGCATAATCGCGGGTGCATCAAACGAACAAGAGGGTGTACACAGGACAACCCTGGTCGGATCCACCCTGCATCGGCCCCTCCGCATGGGTGGGGAAGGGATGTGTTGGGTGTTGGTTTGTTCCAGTCGTAGGTACACCCTCCATGTGCTGCTCAGCCCATTTGCCCAAAACACACCCTCTCTTGGCCGATTCCGTAACTTCAAATAAGAACCGCCTCTTGGATTGGTAGGGCGTGTCACCGTTGGGTTGACTTTCTCGTTTAATTTAAGCGGTTGGCAACGATCTTGTGAGCTTTAGAGCGGTTTGTACGCATCACCGCTTTCAACCGCTAGTACCAGCCTGAACTATGCATGAGCTGTGACACATCCTTACGAAGTATGCATAGGTGCCGCCCTTACCGCACAATTTCCAGCACGAGATACCATGCACATTATGGCGCATGGGATTCACTAGCCCGTGAATGATACCGCATGGATTGGCGGCTGCGTACGAAGTAATTAATAATAGGATCTTCCCTTTGGTGGTAGACTATAATGCAGAACTAATTCGCGGCCAAAGGTATCAGTCACTAGGTCTAGCCTCCTTCGTGACTCCTGTCCAAAACTCAGGGCGGCGTGTCGGTGGTTTGCGATCTAGAGCAATTTGATTGCAAATCGAGACGGCGGAGTAGAGTTTAGGTTTAAAATTTGGACTCCTGGCAGGTGACATAGTTCTCACGGCCTCCCTGGTGGACGCCTCAAAGGGCGCTTGAGGACGTAGCAAGACAGGACGAGGTAGTAGTGTAGGGCGCTGAAACGCCAGGAACCTTCCCCACAGCGATGTCGAGTCGGGGGTTGGCCCTGGCGCGAATGGCGGCAGCGGTGGCGGTGTGGATGGGGCTTGCGGGCGTGCTGGCGGGGCTGGTGGCGTGGAGGGTGCAGAAGGGCTTCGACGACAATCGCAAGGCGGAGCTCGACACCTGGTGCGCCGGTCGCGCGCGCTCGCTGCAGCAGCAGTTCATGCTCACCGCCGACCACGTGCAGGTACACGGCCGACCACGTGCAGGTACACGGCCGACCACGTGCAGGTACACGGCAGCCCACGTGCAGGTAGACGGCTGATCACGTAGGTACTACGCGAATGCGATGCTTCGCCAATGTGCGGAATTTCTAGCACGGATACTTGCGAAACGGGAAAGCGTCGGCGTGTCTAGGGTAAAAATAAGCCGATCCAGTCCTTGTCAACCAAGATCCGGTTTCTAAAGGCATCAGCAGCATATACTATGCATTTCTTATAATCTCCATAGCTACATTTGTCTCGGTATGCCTTAGGTATGGAGTCGCCGTGGCCGTCCAGGTCGACGCATGCGGCGGGCGCGGTGTAGAATCGAATCTTGTGAGGAACGATTCAACGAGTCCCGTGCGCGCATGAATACAGCCGGGCAATGATGATAGCTGCGCGTGGCAAGGTGCACGGCCGCTAAAGGGGCTGACTCAACAAGCGGGTCCAAGCTGACACGTGATGTTGAGGGTGATAGCATGCGAACGAAGAGTCTGCAGGATCTAGGGGTCGTCGCACGGGCTGGTGTTGAGACCAACGCGCACGATCGTTGGCGGCAAGGGTCAGATGGGTGGGGGAGGGAATACGGGCGTAACTGTGTATGCTCACGTGGGCCACTGGAGCACTCATCGCCAGCCGTGTGCTGTGTGAGCCACGTGCTGTGTGAGCCGCGTGCTGTGTGAGCCACGTGCTGTGTGAGCCGCGTGCTGTGTGAGCCACGTGCTGTGTGAGCCGCGTGCTGTGTGAGCCACGTGCTGTGAGCCACGTGCTGTGTGAACCGTGTGCTGTGTGAGTCACGTGCTGTGTGAGCCACGTGCTGTGTGAGCCACGTGCTGTGTGAGCCACGTGCTGTGTGAGTCACGTGCTGTGTGAACCGTGTGCTGTGTGAGCCACGTGCTGTGTGAGCCACGTGCTGTGTGAGCCACGTGCTGTGTGAGCCGTGTGCTGTGTGAGCCGTGTGCTGTGTGAGCCGTGTGCTGTGTGAGCCGTGTGCTGTGTGAGCCGTGTGCTGTGTGAGCCGTGTGCTGTGTGAGCCGTGTGCTGTGTGAGCCGTGTGCTGTGTGAGCCGTGTGCTGTGTGAGCCGTGTGCTGTGTGAGCCGTGTGCTGTGTGAGCCGTGTGCTGTGTGAGCCGTGTGCTGTGTGAGCCGTGTGCTGTGTGAGCCGTGTGCTGTGTGAGCCGTGTGCTGTGTGAGCCGTGTGCTGTGTGAGCCGTGTGCTGTGTGAGCCGTGTGCTGTGTGAGCCGTGTGCTGTGTGAGCCGTGTGCTGTGTGAGCCGTGTGCTGTGTGAGCCGTGTGCTGTGTGAGCCGTGTGCTGTGTGAGCCGTGTGCTGTGTGAGCCGTGTGCTGTGTGAGCCGTGTGCTGTGTGAGCCGTGTGCTGTGTGAGCCGTGTGCTGTGTGAGCCGTGTGCTGTGTGAGCCGTGTGCTGTGTGAGCCGTGTGCTGTGTGAGCCGTGTGCTGTGTGAGCCGTGTGCTGTGTGAGCCGTGTGCTGTGTGAGCCGTGTGCTGTGTGAGCCGTGTGCTGTGTGAGCCGTGTGCTGTGTGAGCCGTGTGCTGTGTGAGCCGTGTGCTGTGTGAGCCGTGTGCTGTGTGAGCCGTGTGCTGTGTGAGCCGTGTGCTGTGTGAGCCGTGTGCTGTGTGAGCCGTGTGCTGTGTGAGCCGTGTGCTGTGTGAGCCGTGTGCTGTGTGAGCCGTGTGCTGTGTGAGCCGTGTGCTGTGTGAGCCGTGTGCTGTGTGAGCCGTGTGCTGTGTGAGCCGTGTGCTGTGTGAGCCGTGTGCTGTGTGAGCCGTGTGCTGTGTGAGCCGTGTGCTGTGTGAGCCGTGTGCTGTGTGAGCCGTGTGCTGTGTGAGCCGTGTGCTGTGTGAGCCGTGTGCTGTGTGAGCCGTGTGCTGTGTGAGCCGTGTGCTGTGTGAGCCGTGTGCTGTGTGAGCCGTGTGCTGTGTGAGCCGTGTGCTGTGTGAGCCGTGTGCTGTGTGAGCCGTGTGCTGTGTGAGCCGTGTGCTGTGTGAGCCGTGTGCTGTGTGAGCCGTGTGCTGTGTGAGCCGTGTGCTGTGTGAGCCGTGTGCTGTGTGAGCCGTGTGCTGTGTGAGCCGTGTGCTGTGTGAGCCGTGTGCTGTGTGAGCCGTGTGCTGTGTGAGCCGTGTAAAGCCTCCTCAGTCAGTGCACCAAGAAGCTCCGTCACACGGTTCACGCTGGACGTGCCCACTCGTCATGCCCTGCCCTCCCATGCCCGCCCCCATGTGCCGCCCATGCGCCGCCCATGCGCCCCCCATGCGCCGCCCATACGCCCCCATGTGCCGCCCATACATCCATCAGGTGCTGGCGGGGCTGGCAACGGTGTTTGGCGGCGTGCGGCAGAACCCCTGGGCGGTGGGCAGCTGCCTCACGCAGCGGCGCTTCGTGCACCTGGTGGAGCGCACAGTGGCGGCACAGCCATGGGTGCACGCCGTGGGGTACATGGCCGTCATCAACGGCTCTGACAGGTCCCTTCCCCCTTCCCCCTTCCCCCTCCCCTCCACGCCGTCGCCCACATGGCCATCATCAACGGCTCCGATAGGTCCCCTGCCTCCCCTCTCCCTGCCGTCTTATCCCTTCACCCCTCCTCCCTCCCTCCCTCCGCCTCTCCATGACTCTCTGGCTCACATCACATGCAAGGTCGGCAGACGGAGTGGTGTTGTGTTGTGTTTTCCTACTCCCTGCCCAGCTTTTGCAAACTTCTTGTTTGAATCTTCTGGAGTGGACTAATCGTGTTTTGAACCTTCATCTTTTGGCGCTTTCCCGTGTTTGCATGCATTCTGACATTCTCTCTCTCGTGCACATGTCACCACAACACAACGTGTGCTCGTGTGACTCTGATGGCATGCTCATACCCTTGCCCTGCCCAACCTTATGACATCCACCCGTCGTCCTCGCTCTTCTCCGCCTCATCTCCTCGTCCTCCTCGTTTCCCCCCTCTCCCCCCCTGCAGGGCGGCCTTTGAGCAGAAAGCGCAGTGCAAGCTGTTGGACATTCTGGGCAAGCCGGCCCCGGAGGCGGATTGGTACATGAACTCGCGCGTGTGGTTCCAGGAGAACCCGCTGCTGCCGATGCTGGAAGGGGCGTCCGTGTGCATCAACGTGCGCACGCACCCCTCGTACGGCCCCCAGCTCTCCCACATGCACGAGCTGGCAGCCAACCTGCTTAGCATGCCCTACGTGCTCGACAACGGGGAGGCTGGCATGGGTGAGTGTGAGTGGTGTGGGTGGGTGAGTGGGAGGGGCGTGAGTGATTGTGATGGGCGTGGGTGAGTGTGAGGGGCGTGGGTGAGTGTGAGGGGCGTGGGAGAGTGTGAAGAGCGTCGATGGATGGGTGGGTGGGAGGGCATGTGTGAATGTGTGAGTGGCATGGGTGAGTGGAAGTGCTGTTGCTCCTTTTCCCTCCCCCGGTCGCAACGTTCTTTCCTTCCCATTCTCCATTTCGCATTTACCACCCCTCTCGATCTCTCACTCATCCTCTACATCCGTACCGTACCCCCTCCCCCGCCCTTCACTCCCCCTCAATGTGCAGCCAGGCATGGGGTCTCCAATCTTCAGGGTCGGCATACGCACGCACACGCACACACACACACCCATTCTCTGCCCTCTGGTTAGTTCCTTCTCTATCACTCCCTCCCTCACTCCCTCCTGTGCTCCCATTACGTCCGTGCCCCCCTCCCTTCCCCCTTTTCCCCCCCCCGTTTTCCCCTTCAATGTGCGGCCAGGCATGGGTTTTCCAATCTTTAAAGACGGAGTCACGACCTCCTCGCCGCTGGAGGAGAGGCGGGCGGCGCTGGTGGGGCTGATAGCGGCGTCCATCGACTTCAAGAGCCTCGCCGCTTTCATCATCAATGAAGTGCTCCGCCAAGGTAACGTGCTGCTTAAGAGAATAGAATATTTTAACTAGAATGGAAGGTGCAGTGCTGTGTGTGCGGTGCTGTGCTGTGCTGTGCTGTGCTGTGCTGTGCTGTGCTGTGCTGTGCTGCTACTAATTTGAATGTGCTGTTGCTCCCTTCGCTGCACGTGCTCACTCCAAGGAAGCACTGTTCACATGAACGAATATATTTCCGTGCGGGAAAAAAAATGAGGTAAAAAAAACGTTTTCCTCACTCTCTTCCTTTTCCAGATGTGCAGTATTCCCTCGAGGTCTACGATGTCACCTCCAGTGATCGCCTCGCCTTCTCCTCTCTCCCCCCCCCCTCCTCCTCCTCCTCCTCCTCCTCCTCCTCCTCCTCCTCCTCCTCCTCCTCCTCCTCCTCCTCCTCCTCCTCCTCCTCCTCCTCCTCCTCCTCCTCCACCTCCTCCTCCTCCTCCTCCTCCTCCTCCTCCTCCTCCTCCTCCTCCTCCTCCTCCTCCTCCTCCTCCTCCTCCTCCTCCTCCTCCCCGTCCCTCTCCTCCTCCTCCTCTTCCTACTCCAGTGGTGCTCGTCTGCTGTACGGGGTGGGTGCCTTGCCTCAAGGCAACCCCTTGCAAGTGGCCAAGCTCATTCCGCCCTCCAACGAAACCATGCTGCAACCTCAGCGCTACAAGGCTGTGCAGCAAATCAACCTCACAGACTCATCACACACCTACCAGCTCTGGTGCCGGTGAGTTGCCTCCTCCAAGGCATGTGTTGGTCCCGTGTGTGCTGTTCCTTACATCAGGTTGCTCCCCTTTCACACGAATTGCTCCTCCTCCAACTCACAACCTTCCATTTCTGTGGCTTAATTAAGGCTGATCTCATGCTGACCCCCACGCCTCATGCTGACCCCCACGCCACATGCTGACCCCCACGCCTCATGCTGACCCCCACGCCTCATGCTGACCCCCACGCCTCATGCTGACCCCCACGCCTCATGCTGACCCCCACGCCTCATGCTGACCCCCACGCCTCATGCTGACCCCCACGCCTCATGCTGACCCCCACGCCTCATGCTGACCCCCACGCCTCATGCTGACCCCCACGCCTCATGCTGACCCCCACGCCTCACGACTCCTCTGCCTGCAGCTTTGGCGACACCGACACGGTCCACAGCTGGACGGCCGTGCTGCTGGCAGTGGTGATCATGGTGGTGGCGGCGCTGCTGGCCGCTATTGGAGTGACTGTGGCATGCAACACGCGGGGCGTGCGGGAGAAAGTGGCAGCAGTGGAGGTGCTGAAGGAGAGAACGCAGGCGGCGGAGCGCAACAAGAGTGCCTTCATCGCCAACACTGCGCATGAGCTGCGCACCCCCATCATCGGCCTCAAGGGTGCGTTGGCATGAATGGGCCGAGTCGTGGAAGTGGTTTCTGAAAGGGCAGAGGGCGAAGTATGTGTTGCTGATGTCAGCACTTGGCACAACCCTCCTAAGCCATTTCAAACCATGCAAGGTCTGGCAGTTGCTGTGCAATGAGTCATTGTCTAAAGGTCATCACCAACACTGCGCATGAGCTGCGCACCCCAATCATCGGCCTCAAGGGTGCGTGGGGGCGAAATGGGGCGGGAAGAGTGCGTGGGCGGGAATGGGCCGAGTGGGGGGGATGGGGCGAGTGGGGGGGATGGGGCGAGTGGGGGGGATGGGGCGAGTGGTTTCTGAAAGGGCACAGAGTATGACCCAGAGCACCTGCAAAGAGCACTTTCTGAGCCATTTCCAACCATGCAAGGAGTATTGGTTGTTGTGCACGCACACACACTGTACACACTGTACAACACACACACACACACACTGTACACACACTGTACACACACTGTGCACACAATGTACACACACTGTACACACACTGTACACACACTGTAGACACACTGTAGACACACTGTAGACACACTGTACACACACTGTGAGTGATCATCGTTATGAGGCGTGTGACTCATGTTGTTGATGACTGCACAATTATGTTCTGTTATGTTGGCACCCCTCTCACTGGATTGCCGGCACTGCACGCGCGGCACATGCAAAGCAATGGATGGAGCATTGTGCCCTCCCCCCCCCTTCTCTCCCCACAGGCATGTTGGAGGAGCTGGCGGAGGGACACCTCTCTCACACAATTCTCCATTCCCCCTGCCCCTTCTCTCCCCACAGGCATGTTGGAGGAGCTGGCGGAGGGACACCTCTCTCACACAATTCTCCATTCCCCCCGCCCCTTCTCTCCCCACAGGCATGTTGGAGGAGCTGGCGGAGGGACACCTCTCTCACACAATTCTCCATTCCCCCCGCCCCTTCTCTCCCCACAGGCATGTTGGAGGAGCTGGCGGAGGGACACCTCTCTCACACAATTCTCCATTCCCCCTGCCCCTTCTCTCCCCACAGGCATGTTGGAGGAGCTGGCGGAGGGACACCTCTCTCACACAATTCTCCATTCCCCCCGCCCCTTCTCTCCCCACAGGCATGTTGGAGGAGCTGGCGGAGGGGGAGGTGGACGGGCGGCAGAGGGAGGACGTGGGGACGGCGGTGGGCGAGGTGGAGCGCATCGTGGCGCTCATCAACGTCGTGCTCGACGTCTCCAAGGCCGAGGCCGGCCGCCTGCACATGGAGCACCTGCCCTTCCACACGCGCTCCTGGCTCAAAGATGTGCTGCACTCCCATGCCTGCGCCGCCCACGCGCGCAACCTCAATTGTAATCATCTTCCTCGCATCCGTTTTCGGTCCCTTCCAGCCATGCCGTTCCTCTGGTGCTAGAAAGCAATCCATCACGCATCTCAGAAGCAAGCGTTGTGTGTTTCTTTTTGTAACCTCTGTACTAATTGTTTGTGCATGTGCCCGTGCCCAGTCGCGTGCCGTGTGGATACGAGTGTGCCCGAGGTGCTGCAGGGGGACTACATGCGCCTGCAGCAAGTGCTGGACAGCATCGTAGGTGAGTCAAGTGGTGGACAGCATTGTTGGTGAGCCAGCAGGGCTGAATGGGATGATGATGTGTGCATTGCTGCTTGATGAACTGAAATTAGACGTTTCACTTTCTCCGATTTCCCTTCCCATCTCACAACTTTGGTTCAATTGTTGTCCTCGTTTTGTTTCCACGCATGATGCACTGCACCTGCTGCAGATAATGCCATCAAGTTCACGAGCAGCGGGGGCGTGTGTGTGCGGCTGCAGTGCCTTCCCCCCGACACCCACATCCCCACCCACCTGCTCTCCCTCGGCTGCCTCCTCGCTCAACCTACCCCCGGCTGCTCCTCGCTTTCTGCTGATGCTGATGCTGATGCTGCCGATGATGGTGCCAATATTGGTGAAGCCACTTCTGCTGCTGCTGCCACTGCTGTCCCCACGGCTGCTGCTGCTGCTGCTGCTGCTGCTGCTGCTGCTGCTGCTGCTGCTGCTGCGCTTGGCGGTGAGCAGGAGCGAGGAGAGAGAGCGTGGAGGGAGCAGGTGTTGCAGCATGGGTTGGTGCAGCAGGGGGCGGAGCAGCAGGGGGCGGAGCAGCGAGGGGTGCTGGGGGGCGTGGTGGGCGATTGGGCCCCACAGCTGGCCTCGCTCTGCACTCGCTTCCTCCCTCGCCCCTCCCACCCGCCTCTGGGGGCGATGGGGCAAGGGGAGGGCAACGAGAGGTGCGAGTGTGATGAGGAGGAGGGAAGGGAGGGGAAGCTGGAGGGGGAGTGGGAATGGAAGGGGCAAAGGGAGGAAGGTTGGAGTAATGGAGAGAATGGGCGCAGGGAAGGTGTGGGGGATGAGGAACGTGGGAGAGGTGAATGGGAGGGTGCAGCAGTGCAGTCAGTGGGTGGTAGGGATGCGGCAGCAGGTGCATGTGTGCAGCAAGGGCGGGAGGAGGGTGGCGAAGGGGAGAAGGCAGGTGAACGTGGCGCTTTTTGGAGAGGAGGAGAGGGGAGAGGAGAGGGGAGGGGAGCAAGGAGAGGAGAGGTGGCTTCTCTGAGGCACTGCGAAGAGGAGCAAGGGGGTGGCCCTGGTGGTAGAGCCATGCGAGGTGCCGGTGTGCGTGAGGGGGGTGGTGCTGTCACATATGAGGTAGGCAGGGTAGCAAGAGCAGCAGCATTAGGGGCAGGCGGTGGTGTGGGCTGGTGGAGCGAAACAGTAGAGAGGTGGTGGCGTGGACGGGGCAGAGAGGAGGGCACGGAGGCGGAGGGGGGAGGTGGCAGGCGGTGTGTGGTGCTGCTGACATGTGAGGACACGGGGTGTGGCATCGCAGAGGAGGAGCAGCGCGACGTGTTTCAGGCGTTCATGCAGGTGAGTGAGCCCTGCCCCTCATGCAGGTGAGCCCTGCCCCTCATGCAGGTGAGCCCTGCCCCTCATGCAGGTGAGCCCTGCCCCTCATGCAGGTGAGCCCTGCCCCTCATGCAGGTGAGCCCTGCCCCTCATGCAGGTGAGCCCTGCCCCTCATGCAGGTGAGCCCTGCCCCTCATGCAGGTGAGCCCTGCCCCTCATGCAGGTGAGCCCTGCCCCTCATGCAGGTGAGCCCTGCCCCTCATGCAGGTGAGCCCTGCCCCTCATGCAGGTGAGCCCTGCCCCTCATGCAGGTGAGCCCTGCCCCTCATGCAGGTGAGCCCTGCCCCTCATGCAGGTGAGCCCTGCCCCTCATGCAGGTGAGCCCTGCCCCTCATGCAGGTGAGCCCTGCCCCTCATGCAGGTGAGCCCTGCCCCTCATGCAGGTGAGCCCTGCCCCTCATGCAGGTGAGCCCTGCCCCTCATGCAGGTGAGCCCTGCCCCTCATGCAGGTGAGCCCTGCCCCTCATGCAGGTGAGCCCTGCCCCTCATGCAGGTGAGCCCTGCCCCTCATGCAGGTGAGCCCTGCCCCTCATGCAGGTGAGCCCTGCCCCTCATGCAGGTGAGCCCTGCCCCTCATGCAGGTGAGCCCTGCCCCTCATGCAGGTGAGCCCTGCCCCTCATGCAGGTGAGCCCTGCCCCTCATGCAGGTGAGCCCTGCCCGTCATGCAGGTGAGCCCTGCCCCTCATGCAGGTGAATGTGTGTTGGGACACCAAGGCGTTCATGCAGGTGAGCTCTTAGAATGTGTGTTGGGGCACCAAGGCGTTCATGCAGGTGAGCTCTTAGAATGTGTGTTGGGGCACCAAGGCGTTCATGCAGGTGAGCTCTTAGAATGTGTGTTGGGGCACCAAGGCGTTCATGCAGGTGAGCTCTTAGAATGTGTGTTGGGGCACCAAGGCGTTCATGCAGGTGAGCTCTTAGAATGTGTGTTGGGGCACCAAGGCGTTCATGCAGGTGAGCTCTTAGAATGTGTGTTGGGGCACCAAGGCGTTCATGCAGGTGAGCTCTTAGAATGTGTGTTGGGGCACCAAGGCGTTCATGCAGGTGAGCTCTTAGAATGTGTGTTGGGGCACCAAGGCGTTCATGCAGGTGAGCTCTTAGAGTGTGTGTTGGGGCACCAAGGCGTTCATGCAGGTGAGCTCTTAGAATGTGTGTTGGGGCACCAAGGCGTTCATGCAGGTGAGCTTTTAGAATGTGTGTTGGGGCACCAAGGCGTTCATGCAGGCGAGCTCTTAGAATGTGTGTTGGGGCACCAAGGCGTTCATGCAGGTGAGCTCTTAGAATGTGTGTTGGGGCACCAAGGCGTTCATGCAGGTGAGCTCTTAGAATGTGTGTTGGGGCCCCAAGGCGTTCATGCAGGTGAGCTCTTAGAATGTGTGTTGGGGCACCAAGGCGTTCATGCAGGTGAGCTCTTAGAATGTGTGTTGGGGCACCAAGGCGTTCAGGCAGGTGAGCTCTTAGAATGTGTGTTGGGGCACCAAGGCGTTCATGCAGGTGAGCTCTTAGAATGTGTGTTGGGGCACCAAGGCGTTCATGCAGGTGAGCTCTTACAAGTGGTCCACTTCGTTGCAAATGGCCCAATGCTGCTCAAGCCAGTCCGGTTCGTCACAGGCCACCGAATCAGAGTTTGGTTTTGCCAACTTGCCAAGTGGGCCAAGTTGGTTGCCAGTGTTGATGTGTTGGGCAGCACACTGAAGCTGGCTGCCACCGCCACCGCATGTGCTGTTTGTGGCTTGAACCACCCTACCGAAATTAGGTGGGCCAACACAAACAGTGCAGTCTATGTTTGATGCACCTCTAAATCAAGCTGTTTTACTCGGGTATCAGCTGAATGTGCACTCTACACTGATGCGTGGGAAAGAAGTAATGGATCAGGATTGTGAAACTTTAGCCTGCACGAATGCACCACCCACAGTTGCACCTTCACCGATCCATCATATGCTCTTGTTTTATCACACCCCGTTGTAATACACCCCGTTTGTAATACACCCCGTTTGTAATACACCCCGTTTGAATACACCTTACCCCAACAGGCACACCAGAAGAGACACGCGCATGGCGGCAGCGGCATGAGCCTTCACTTATCGCGCCAGCTGGTGCGTCTTGTGTCACAACCGGTGTTCCTTGTGTGGAAGAAGCGAATGTGTGCCTTGTGTCTTTCCATGTACCTCATCGTAGTTGCTTGACTTCTTCCCCTTGGCTGCTGTTATCTCATTGCTAGCCTTCATCTCAGCACTTGCTTACTATCCTCTTCTGTAAATTATTGTTTGTTACTGCGCATCTCATTGCGTCCCTTGTGCACGGCACACATTGTCTGCTTCTGTCAACGCCTCCCACGTGCCAACGTGTCGCAGGTGTCCCTCTTAGGCGGCAGCATGGGTCTAGTCAGCACAGAGGGCGTCGGCACCACTCTGCACGTCGCTCTGCCCTTTGATGTTCCGGCTCCTCCTGCTTCTGCCGCCGCTGCTGCTGCTGCTCATTCCCCTGCTGCCAGTTTCGCTCCCTGCGCTGGTTATGGTGCTGGCTGGAGGGCCGTTGCCAGTCCCAGTCCCATTACCAGAGTGGGCAACAGAAGCTTCAGTGCGAGCGAGGGAGGGCAGGGATGGGGAGAGGCGGAGGGCACAAGCGCGGTGGAGGGGGCGGGTGAGAAGGTGGTGAGCGCCAAGGACGCTCTCAAGGAGATGCTTCAGGGCATGGCGATCCTGGTGAGGGCATGGCCATCCTGGTAAGGGCATGGCCATCCTGGTAAGGGCATGGCCATCCTGGTGAGCAAGGGCAGTCCACGTGACAACAACGTCATATCCTCTTCTCTTTCAAACTCGCTCTCAATCGTCCTCTATCGGATGTACCTGCCGTGCTGGCCAAGTGGAAAATGACAATGCCATCAATTGTCTCTGCACCCCGCCTGCATGCCCCTCCCTCACCCAGGTGGTGGACGACAACGTGATCAACCGTTCTCATCCCCTCTGCACCCCTTCTATACCCGCTGTACCCGCCGTACCTCCATTCTCATCCCCTTCATACCCCCCCGCCACGTGGTGGACGACAACCTGATCAAACCGTTCTCACCCCTCTCAACCCCCCTGTACTCCCTGCACTCACCCAGGTGGTGGACGACAACGTGATCAACCGTCCCTCTGTCTCACCCCTCTCCACCCCCCTGTACTCCCTGCACTCACCCAGGTGGTGGACGACAACGTGATCAACCGTCCCTCTGTCTCACCCCTCTCCACCCCCCTGTATTCCCTGCACTCACCCAGGTGGTGGACGACAACGTGATCAACCGTCCCTCTGTCTCACCCCTCTGCACCCCCCTGTACTCCCTGCACTCACCCAGGTGGTGGACGACAACGTGATCAACCGTCCCTCTGTCTCACCCCTCTGCACCCCCCTGTACTCCCTGCACTCACCCAGGTGGTGGACGACAACGTGATCAACCGGCGGGTGGCAGCGAGCACGCTGGCGCGGTACGGGGCGGAGGTGGCGCTGGCAGAGTCGGGCGAGGCGGCGCTGCGCCTGCTGCAGGCGCGCCACTCCTTCCGCCTCGTGCTCATGGACCTCCACATGCCCGCCCTCGACGGCTTCCACACCACCGCCCGCCTGCGCGCCTTCGAGGGCCAAGCCCACACCTCCCAACAGCAGCGCGTTCATGTGGTGGCCATGTCAGCGGATGTGGACTGTGCCGTTGCCGCCCGTGCCACAGAGGCTGGCATGGATGGAGCCGTGCAGAAGCCACTCAATGAGAGAGTGCTGCTGCAGGTGCTCTCAACACTAAATGGTTCTGTAACTTTACCTACACAGTATTAGTACTTGCATCACTTCCCCGATTTGTTTGTGTATGGTTTTTATTTATTAAATTTATTCGTTCAAATTTATAAATTACATGGTGTGTGATAAGTTCGAGTTGTATGCAGTGTAGTGTGCTTTCAGTAAGGAATAACATTTCCCTTCCATTCCACCCACCCCTCCTTGTATTTTCTCTTCTCTTGCAAGTCATTCTTTCCCTCCTTAACATGGTATCATGCTAGTTTAGTACTCTCGCTTCCGCCCCGCCTACCGACCGGCCCCCGCTAGCGCGCCCCTTAGCCCCTCCTGTCGCACCCCTCTAATGCCCCACCCGACGTGGACCCCGTCAAGACCACGTCGCGCCCCGCCACGCGCCTGCCGCGCATCCTAGCGCGCCCTGTCGCGTGCACTGGCTCGTCCTGCCTCGCCCTGCCGCCTCCTGTCGCACACCTGCCACGCCAACTGCCACACCTGCTACACCCACACCTGCACCAGGGCCCAAAATTGGTTTTGGCCCACCCTGTCAAATCAGAGTTTCAGGGTGGGCCAACCCTGACTCCTAGGGTAAAAAATCTCATACCCTGATGGAAACAGGGTAAGAAAAAAGTTAAGCTGATTACGTAAAAAATGGTATATGTAGTAACGAACTGGTCCATTGCAAGTTGAAGTGTCTCACAGGGTTAGAGGTGATGCTGCGATCGGGAAGGTCGCGGGTTCGACGCTCATATAGGGTAATGAACGTAGTGCAATACTCGCTGGCGCCGTTTAGCGCAACATCCACCGTATCCTCGCTACGAAAGACTCGGTATCAGTGTAACAGGTTCAAAACACTGATGAAAGTCAGGGGAAACAATCTATAACTCGGATTTCATAAGGGTACAAAAAATCAAACTCTTTATGAGTCAGGGTAAGACATCCGGGAGGCTGACTGGGTCAGGGTAACCCCAAAAAAAGCGGCCGCCAGTCAGGGCAATCAGGGTATTTTACCCTGACATTTTGGGGCCTGACCTGCACCTGCCGTCGCCCGCGCTCGCGCCCACGCCTGCCTCCCACGCTCCCTGCGCATTCCGCCGCCGCGCTTGCACCTGCCGCGCCTATCGCGCCCACTACAGCTGCCGCGTTTCGCGCCCAATGCTGCCCGCGCCTGCTCAGGCACCTGTAATACTCGCACCTGCTGCCGCCGCACCAGCTGCACCCGCGCTGCCGCCGCCCGCGCCTGCCACACTTGCGCCTTGCCGTGCGCCTGCCGCCTGCGCTCCTTGCGCCTGCCGCCGCCGCGCCACTGCCTGTTGCGCTTGCGCCTACCGCAACCGCGCACGCCGCGCCCACGCTAACGCTACTGCGCCCGCCCGGCCGCGCCTGCGCCTACTACCGCTCGCACTTGCGCCCACGCCCGCACCTGTAGCGCCCCTCTTGCCGCACTTGCGCCTTGCCGTGCGCCCGTGCACCCTGCCATGTGCCTGCTGCGCCCTGCTTTGCGCCCTACCGCATGCCCTGCCGCGCCCTGCTGCCACGCTTCCGCATGCCCTGCCACGCCCAGCCGCGCACCCTCGCAGCGTCTGCCGCACACCTGCTGCCGTGTGCCTACTGCCGCACCTGCAGCGTGACCTCTGCCGTGCCTACGGCTGCTACCCGCCAACCGCACTATCAATCTCTTTGAGACTAGTCTCACTCAGATCGAGACCCACCTCCACACCATTGCCGCCACCACTGGTATGGTAGTCCCCCTCTATCTTTTGAGGGGTGCGCACCGCCCCAACTCCCTGCCTCTGCTGCCTCTGCTGCTGCTACTGGGGCTACTGCTACAACGGAGGCCGCATCCGTCACAGCCCCTAGTGGTGGGCGCGGACGGCGCAAAAGTTGCCTTAGTCGGCAAGGAGGTGGCGGTGTTGGTAGGTCAGAGGGTGCTGACGCTGAGATTGCTGGTCCTGGGTGTGCTGCAGCATGAGGTGCTGGTTCTTTGGGTCCGGCGGTGACTCCGCATTCATAGCAGTAGTTCCGGCAGTGGGTTCCCAACTGTCAGTTGGGCCAGGCTGGCCTGGGGAGCGGTGGCTACAGTGGCGGGTCTTACAGTTGGGCGTCGCGTGCCCCCCCCAATTGGCAATGCTCGTACCAGCTTCTGACTGGTCCACACGACGGCACAGTCTGTGGGTGCCCAGGTCATTCCGCTGAATGCTGCTAGCGCCGACTTGACGACCTTTACTGCGCCCACTTTGGGCTTACGGCTCCCCCCTCGGACTGGCATATACTGTTGCGTAGGCCCTCAGATTAGTCACGCTGATCACTCAGTGTGGCTAGGAGGTGAAAGTCAGATCTTTAGTGTCGTCTAAGGCCAAACCACTGATTTTTCAGAGTTGAAAAAATAAAAAGCTTTATTAATTTACCAAATTTTGATTTTCTTTCACATTACATCAACAGCAAGGGGCGGCTCCCATTCTCTTAGTTGAGGGGCAGGTATCATAACTTCTGTCTCCACTCTCCCCAACGGCTAGAAAGAGGAAAGGATGACATGTTCGTGAAACTTCAGGGTCGGCTTAACCAAAACTCTGAAAAATCAGTGTTACCTAAGCCAAAACACTGAAAATTCCGGGTTCACAAAATGAAAACGTTGAAAAATCAGCACCGGTACACAAAAACACCATGAAAATCAGTGAAATCAAGACAAAAATCCCGACTTCTCATGGTCTGCTGTTGCGTCATGGTTTGCCTGTTTTTTACTTCTCAGGTAGGCTCTGCCATGTATGCTGATGAGTATAGTGTTGCTATATCTTATTATTCGTGTGTGTCTAGAGTAGGTGTGACGACTGCCGATGCCTCCCTCTCCTTCACGCTCGACTCTGGCGCGTCCCATTGCTTCTTTCGTGACCACACCACCCTCTCGCCACTTCCGGCTCCTGTTGCAGTCTCCCTGGCCGACCTCACCTCTGGACCAGTCGTCGCGCATAGCGCTACTTCACTCCAGTGTATGGTAGTCCCCTCAGGCTCCCTCACAGGCCTGCACATCCCATCGTTCTCAAGGAACTTGGTGGGTGTTAGTCGTCTTCAAGACCTCGGTGTTCACCACCACGTTTCCTGGACACGAGCGGTTCACGACCTTTACGGGCGCTACCACCTGGGCACCTCTTGCCATATTCCCCCGGAACCCTGCGTTAAGTATTTTCACACTGCACACTATGTCCACCCATGTTCTTGCGTCTGATCAGGTATTTGCGCCGTGCTCGTATCGGTTGCTCACTCTCCCATCGCTCCTGTGGCACCAATATCTAGGCATCCCGCCCTCCCGTGTCTCCGTCACGTTGCTCAGCATGGTCTTGTCTCAGGTCTCTTGTCGTCGGTCCCCACTCTCCCTCCCTCACCTACGCCGCCGTGCACTCCTTGCGTCAAGTGCTTGCGTCAAGTGCACTCCCGCCCTCACTCCTGCTTGTTTCCTACTACCACTGCGCCTCTTCAGGCCTTGCACATGGACGTTTGGGGCCTGCCCCTGTTCCTGGGGTGCGCCGGGAGCACTACTTCCTGGCCATTGTGGATGACTACTCCCGCTACACCACTGTGTTTCCCTTGAAAGGGAAGGCCGACGTGCCTGATGCTCTCCTCCCGTGGTTAGTAGCCATCCACGCCCAGCGCGTGCTTCATCTGCACTCTGTGCAGAGGGTATCACCCAGACGTTCACGCTCCTGGACTCGCCGCAGCAAAATGGAGTAGCTGAGCATCTCATTGGCTTGGTCTTAGAGATCGCCCGTACCTCCATGACCCATGCAAGTACCCTCCATTTTCTATGGCCGTTTGCAGTCCGCTACACCATGCACCAACTTAGCCTGTGGCCTCATGTCTCAGAGCCACAGGTTTCGTCCGTCCTCTAAAGTAGTTCCCCTTGTGTTGCGCCTGTGTTCGCGTCAGGGGCCTTGCTCACGTCCGCGACACTAGTGCGAACAAGCGCTCAGCCCGCGCACTTCTGTGTATCTTCCTTGGTTTTCCTCGCAATGCTCCTCACTGGTTGTTCTACCACCCCTTCTCTCACCGTTTCCTCCACTCTCATGACGTCACCTTTGACGAGTCTGTCTTCTTTTACACACGCTTCCGTCACCGAGGTACCCGGTTCCCCCTCCCCTCCCCTATTTCTCACTCCCACTCCTCCACTTGTTCCCCTGCCCTCGTGTCCTGCCCCGTTTGGTGTGTCGGGCGTCACCCCCTTCCCTCGGTTGGGCCTGTGGGGAAGTCTGCGGACTCTGCGGGCCCAGTATGTGGGGGTTCGCCTCTTGTGTCGGTGACTTCACCCCTCAACTGACCGACCACCTGTTCCCTCCTCACCGTCTCTTTCAGTCCACGGTCCCACGTTTCCTCCTCCGGTCTTGTCCCCGGCTCATCGTCCTCCTAGTTCACAGCTATCTACGCCCGTCTCCTGACTCGTCTCCTTCTTCCCACCACAGAGTCCACTGTATCTGGTGCAGACACCAGAAGGTTTTCAGTACAAGCCTTATCCTCGAGCACCGCTGATCGCCCTGTGTCTCCCCTTCCTAGTATCCACTTTATGCTCCTCCGTTCTTGTCCCCCTCGGGTTCCGCCTCCCTTTGTTCCCCCACTACCTCCTCCGGTGTCCCTTACTGTCTCCTCTCCTCCATTATTTGACTTCCTCCATGCCGCTCGCCCTACAGTCTCCCGCGTCCTTTGCTCTCTCGTTACTAACCCCACTACTCCTATGCAGTCTGTGTCAGCTCTTCATGCTGAATTTGCATCCACGTGTCCCCTTCACTACACCACTCAATTTGTCTCTGCCCTTTTTCGTCCTCCGCCCGTCGGGGGTGCTCCTGTTCTTAGGAGTGACGACCTAGAGGACATGCAATTTGAGCTGGATTTCCTTGCGCCGCTACTCCTCACCTCTCCGCCATGTTGTTAGCCTTCTGAGGGTGGCCCAAGCACTCTTGACATCCCGAAGCCTCGCACCTACGCTAAAACGGGTAGAATTTAGTCATAGAGACTAAATTTTGAGAGACTTTAGTCAGGGACGGGGGGTAGACTTATTTCATACCTTCTCCCCCAATCCAAAGATGGCCACTCTTCGGGTACTGCCACACATCGCAACGCAGCACGACTATGAGCTTCACTATCTTAACTTCTCCACTGGCTTTCTCCATGGCCGCCTGCACAAGCAGATCATCCTCTACCGCTCACCTGGCTTCACTGGATCCTTTCCTCCTATGCCTCACTGGAGCCTTCGACGTCCCATCTACGGTCTGCGCCAGGTGCCTCATGAGTCGCACGACATACTGCGCACTACTCTCCTTGACCTCCGCTTCTTCCTGTCATCTGTTGACCCTTCACTCTT